TGCTTTACTTCTCTGGGCTTGGATGTTTCAATCACTGTAAAATAAGAATAATAGTACCACCATGGGGCTATTTTGAGGACTGCAAAGATCTCCCCGCAAGAACTTACTTGTAACAGTTGTCCAATACATTGTTGCTAATATCATGTTATTTCCAGAGTATGAGGCTTGTGTACAGGGGTCTGCAAGGCAGGGAGGGGTCCTGTGCAAAATTTATGATTCCTGCCTCCCCAATTTATATCTTAACTCTTCCTGCCCATTCTGCAGGTGTCCAAAATGGCCTTTCATCGGCCCCAAACTTCTGGGCAGTCTTTGTTGCCTCCTGCCATTTACCGGGGGGCAACTTGGAGCCAAGGAGTCCGCACTCCTGCTGAGGTGGGTATGGTCCCCATTTTACTTACACTGCAAGTTGAGGTTTGGGGCAGTCAGGAGAAATCCCATAGAAGACAAGCCTGTCTGCCCCCCCCCTTGGGGGAGGGCTAGAGTACCCAGGCCCTGAGCTCCACTGTTTGTCCAGTAGGGGCAAGAATGCAATGGGGAGAGCTCAGACCAAAGGGGGTGGCTCCAAATCTGTCCTTCCCTTTGAAAGAAAGGTGTGTCTGCTCTGTCTTTCCCCATTCGGGACCTTCTACCCAACTCAGTCCTACATGCCTGATCTCCAGAGTTCCAGCCCCTAACTGCAGGGACTGGGCAGTTACCCTCCAGTGCTGGAACATGCTCCCCTGCTATTCATTCATTCACTCATTCATTTGTTCGTTCGTTCGTTTATTCACTCCTTCAGCCATTCATTCAATAGCTATTACTAAGAGGTACTATGTGCCAGGCACTGTACTTCCTACTGGGGAGACAGTAGCCATGAACTCACATTCTAGTAGGAAGACAGACAATAAACCAAGCAGATCAACAAACGTGGAAATAATGTCAGATCAGCATAGATACTATGGAAAAAAACAAACAGGCAGATGGCACTGAGCAGTATCTAGGGTGGGGAAGGAAGGTCTCCCAGAGGAGGTGACACTGAGCACTTGGCCTTGACAAAGAAAGTCTTTTTCTTCAGGACTTTCCTTTCCCCAGCAGTGTGGGGAGCCCTCAAAAGGGGGAAGCTGTTTCCAGCCCTCAGAGGAGGAGTTGCGACAGGGAGAAGAAAGGGGACAGTCGTGATGTGGATGCAGGGGGTGGGGGTGCAGGACCTAAAGCAGAGGGCCCTGCTGACCCCCACTGTTCCTGGTGGCAGTGAAGTAACAGGAAGTACAGAGATGGCCAAACCAGGGGAGTCAAGAACAGGAGGACCTTCAAGACCAACAGCAAGTCAGAGGGAGCTTTAGCTGCAGGAGAAATACCCCACCTGGAAAGCAGAGGCTGGGGCCAAAACCTGGCTTCAGTGCCCTCGGAGTTGCCAGATGGCTGGTAACCTTCATTGGGGAAGTGCGTGGGAGTGGCTTGGCTTTCAGCAATGGATGGAGGGATGGGTGGGCTGACGGGTGAACAAATGACTGGCACACGGACAGAAATAACCCGCTACACTTATTAGTGTTCTCTCCTGAAAGGTGTGTTTTGGGGGAAGGCACTTGGGAGAGGGTGTCAGTGACAGTTTTCATGAGGCAAACAACATGCCCAGCATGTTCTCACCTGGGTCACAGGCAAACCCACACCCAGGTTCATACTTCCTCACTCGCAAGCAAGTGCCCAATCTTTCTGAGTCCATCCATAAGAAACAGCACAGAAAGGTAGAATTCTGGTTCTCATGATGGTTCCAAGGACGCAGGACGTCAATGCACCAGAGGGACTCAGGTTGAAGGCATCAAATGCCGTACCCGCTTGGGTTTGAAATTCCCCCAGGTAGCTGGGGAAAAGGCTGAATAATGAGGAACTAATGAAACAGGTAATAAAAGCCAGGGTGGGTAGGTGGTGAGAGGCAGGGCTTAAAGAAAGCTTCCTGCAACTGGGCAGGTTTTTTGCATTGAGAGCTTGCCGCAGCGCAGAGGTTACTGGAGAAGATCATGTCATTGCAACGGCACCTGTTTTGCACCCATGCATTTCGATGCTCAGGGTCTTCCCCTCATGTCTAGGCCTGGAATTGGAGGGGTGCGGGAGAAGTGGAGGGTTTGCTGCCACCGCACAGGGGCTTGTGGGCAGCTTCTGGGTGCATGGAACGGAGAGCCTGCTCGCTTGGCACTCCTTGGCAAAAATTCGCCCCTAAGCCTCTGGACCACACGCTGTTTTCATTCATTCATTCAACGCACATTTTATGAGGACCTATGATGTGTCAAGTCCTGTAGTGAACAAAACAGGCCTGGTCCCTGTTCTGAGAGAACTCGTTATTCTTGGGCAGCCCCAGAGAGGTTGGCAGGCTCTTAATTTTGTCGCTTAATTCCTGAAGAGGGGGAGGGATAAAGGAAGCCAAAAACCCTGGAACTAGTATGGCAAGAGGCAGTGGATAGAAACCTGGGTCCAACAGCTCTGGCTTTAATATTTTTTCACTAATATTTGTGGGGCACCAAGCTTGGCAGCCACTGCCCTCTAGGAACCTCTGACTAGTGAGGTCAAGATTCACACGGACATGGGCAACCAAGACAACAACGGGGTCCGAAATAGAGACTCAGCAAAAGGGAACGCCATATCCCACTGGGAGAAATGGGAAGGCTTTCCGGGAGGAAGGGACCCTAGCTGGACCCCAAATCATTTACAAGACAAAAGCGCAGGAATGAGATTGGAGAATTCCAGGTAGAGGAAACTGCTAGGCTACTGTGCATAGGCAGAACTTGGCAGGTTCTGAGAACTGAAAGAAGTTGGCTAGACTGGAGCATTTGGAATGATGGAGGCTCATCCACTTTTTCCTATCTGAGGCTGGGAAATGCGATGGTTTCTTTGAGTTTCAATCTACCCATCTGCAAAATGGGTAGGACAAGGTGAGTGATGTCACATTGTTGGGGGGGGGTTGCAGGGGGAATGACCTGTGGATGGCTTCTGGCACAATTGGTGCTCAATAAATACAAGATGACTTATATCCGCGTGGCTTATGTCTGTGGGCCAGAGAGGCGCGGGTCCCATGGGCCGCGGGGGAGGGGTTCAGACCTGCGCACCCTTGGCCTAGGTTTTCGGAATATCTTTATTAACGAGCACTTCAAGGTAAGCCGCGATGGAAACCAGATGTGGGATCGAGCAGTCGGCGGCAGAGCAAGGAGCAGAGATACCAAGGGAGTGGGGTGGGGGTGAGGAGTAGCCCAGCTGAGGTTGGGGGTAGAAGCACGACCCCCCAGGTATTTTTTCTTTGGGAGACCTTAGGTGCAGAAGGTTGATTTCTGACCCACATCCCTGGGTTTGTTGGCGCTCAGGCGCTCTCTCCGTATACTTTGCCCCTTCACCTCTCATCCCTTCCCCCGCCTCCTTTGAGGTAAATCCTCAATCCACGGACTTTCCCTGCAGTTTATCAAAAGCTGTTCTAAGTGGTCTCCTTCCAACTGAGTCATTCCCCGGTGGGAGACCCATTTCCTCTGCTTTTTGCGTTTTCGCTGTCTCCAGTGCCATCCCAGGACCGTGGAGGGACTAGCCCCAGCATGGGTTCCAAGGCGGGCCCCCGCCGGGCGACCGCACCTCTCTGAGCCTCGGTTTGTTCATCTAAAATTGGGGACCCCAACCTCCACCCTTCACAGTTGTTGTGAGGCAGTGCAATCGATGACCAACCCTGGGGAAAAGGCTGGACGCACCCTAAAAGTTCTTCTCCCTTGCTGTGGCTGGTCCCAGTGCCCCGAGGCGCGCACAGCTGAGGGAAACCACAACCCATCAAATCCAAGCCATCGGTTTTACAGTCGGAGACAGTGAGTCTAGAGAGAGAAAAGGCTTCCTCACCCTTACCCCAAGCCGTGAGCAGGTGACAGGGAGACGACGGGGAACAGCCAGCAGGTCTCCAAACTCCTTGCTCTCAACCCCGTGGACCGAAAATCCCCTGGGCTGGGTGCAGATGGGAGGAGAGCTCTGTCCCAGGAGGGGACGGAGAGGACCGAGCTCTAAAGCTTCCATAACCTGGCCCATAAGGGCTTCTCTGGTGTTTGAGCGCACACAGGCCCCTCGACACCCTGCCCCAGCACCCATGTAGGGGAGGGAAATAGTTAATTAGACGGGAAAGTGGCCGAGCACAGGACTACTGCCTTGGGTGTGTGCTAAGTTCGTAGAGGGACCGAGAATGGGGAAGAGGGGTTGGAAGCAGAGAAAGAGGCACTGGTAGGAAGGCCCAAAGCTGTGCCGACAAATTCGAAGGTCATTGTCCCAAGGACTGCACTAGGAGGCTAGTGACCCTTCTGACTCTGAAAGTGAAAACCTGTTAAGTGTTTTTTGTTTCTTTTCTTTTCTCTTTTCTCTTCTTTTTTTCTTTCTTTTAATCTGTCCCTAAAGTTTTGCCTGCCCCCACCCCTGGGCCAAAGCTTGGACCCGCCATTCTCAGCCTAGTTTTGGGAGTCTTAGGGCCCGGGTCACCTCTCCCACCCGGCCTAGAATCGGAAAGGCCCTCGGGCGCCTCCGGGTTTAATCCCCAACGAGCAAGTTAGTAGCATCTCTGTGTTTGGGGAGTAGGGGGAGAGGAGGGGGTGGGGCGGAGGGAAGAAGGAGAGAAGGAAGGAGAGAGTCAGGGGAAAAAATTCACTCTCCCTCTTTTTTCACCCCCATTTCAAAATCTTAAGAGGCTTTGGGAGATCTGGTCAACTTTCCGAAACATCTGAATCTTTTTACAGCCCTCCGTTCTTTCCCTGGGCCAGCTGCGGGGAGGGAGAAGGAAGAGAGAGGAGGAGGAGGGAGGAGAGAGAGACAGAGAGACAGAGAGAGAGAGACGAGAGGACAGAGAGAGAGAGAGAGAGAGAGAGAGACGTGGAGGGAGGAGGGAGAGCGAGCAGGCCCGCGCGGAGCGCAAGGCCACCGCCTCCTCGCCTCCCCAAACTCCCGGGCAGGGCGCGCGGTGGCGTCCTCGCGCTCTCGCTCGCGCCCCCGCCCTTCGCCCGCGCAGGCCAGGCATGAATGCTGAGACTTGCGTCTCTTACTGCGAGTCGCCGGCTGCTGCCATGGACGCCTACTACAGCCCGGTGTCGCAGAGCCGGGAGGGCTCCTCGCCTTTCAGGGCATACCCCGGCGGCGAGAAGTTCGGCACAACTTTCCTCTCGGCCGCCGCCAAAGGGCAGGGATTCGGAGACGCCAAGAGCCGGGCCCGCTACGGCGCGGGGCAGCAGGACCTGGCGGCACCCCTGGAGAGCGGCGCCGGGGCGCGGGGCTCCTTTACCAAGTTCCAGCCGCAGCCGCAGCCGCCGGCCCCGCAGCCGCCGCCGCCGCCGCCACCGCCGCCGCCGCCGACCGCGCAACCCCCGCATCTCTACTTGCAGCGCGGCGCTTGCAAGACTCCCCCGGACGGCAGCCTCAAACTCCAGGAAGGCAGTGGCGGCCACAACGCGGCCTTGCAGGTCCCCTGCTACGGTGAGTGCACGTGCGGGGTTGCTCGGGGGCCTGGGCTCGGCGGGCCGGGGAGGCGCGGGGCCGCGCCGCGGGTGGCTCTGGGTCGGAAAACGGGAACCGACGGTTCCGAGGGGACCGTGGGATCCGTCCGGCCCTCTTCATCTCCCCACGCCGAGGGCTCGGAGCTGTTGTGGCTGTTGAACCCGCCCTGGGGGTTGTTTTCTCCGCGTCCTCGCCGGTTCTCCCAACCACTCGCTTTGCGCGGCTCGCGGGGCCGCCTCCGAAGCGGATGCTTCGCCCGGCTCGGGGCGTGCGGCGGCGAAGTGTGGCGGCGCGGCGCTCAGGCGCGGCGCTCCGGGGCTGCCGAGGCCTCGCTCCCCGCAGGCCTGGAGGCTCCCCGGGCGGTGCTGCAGGTGGGAGCATCGCAGGTGCCGAGCCCGCTGGGAGCCCGGAGCGCGGTCAGGCTGAGCGCGCCCCGGGTGCCGCGGGTCGGGGACGCCGCACGGGTGCGGGGCCGCAGACGCCTGGAGCCGCCGAGGACCCGAGTTCGCCCCCTACACCCCCCCCCCCCCCCCCGCCCCACACAAACACACAAGCCCGGCTTTCGGGGGAGAGGCAGGCCGGCTGGCGTTCGGAGCGATCCTCGCCCGGCGAACCTGGGAGGCGGCTGACCTCGGAACAATGGTTTAGGACCGACCGGCAAGAACGCAGGGAGCGGCAGAGTTCCAGGCAGCGCAATGCTGGGGGAAGAGGGAAGCTTCTGGGTCCCGATTTGGGCCCACAGGGAAACCTGAGGCCTAAATGACCTCCAAGCCCCCTTGAGCTCCCAGGCAGGACATAGGCCTGGGCCCCCAGAGCTTAGCAACCGTGATGGAGGAAAGGGCAGCCTGAGGCCAGAGCCGCTCAGGAGCCTAGGCCTTCTCGCCCACTGATTCGGGATTGACAAGCCCCAAGCTGGCAAAGAGAGAAACCCAGAAGGGAGGGAAAAATCTTCCTGGGCTAGGAGCCCTGGATACACACTCTCCCTGAGGCTTTGGCCTTCAGGCAGGGCCCTGGAGATGAGCTGGTCCTGACACACCAACGGCTTTGGCTGCACTGGCCCATGCTGCACGGAGAGACACCAAGACTGGGGACAGACATGGGACATGGTGGAGGCCTTGGTGGCTAGAATAGCCTTAGGAAAACAGCCCATGGCAGACACTTTCTTATATTCAAACTAGCTTACCAGAGGCTCACAACTAGTTCATTAGGTGGTTGTTGACGCAAACATTTGCACATACACTTGACTACACACACAACCTCTTCCTCATGAGCCAACAGAGTCACACACTAAATACACTCAGTCATGTGGCCTCACACATAGTCACACATTCCCAAACCCACAGGACAGGACTGAGAGCAGATTTAGAAAGATCCAGTGGCCTTTCCCCACTTCCTCCACCTTTCCTCTCCACCTTCCTGTTGGAATGAGATCAGGCACTCAGATCACAGACATTCACGGCTCCACACAGGTGCTCCTTCCTCACTCGGGCAGGCAGGGGTTGTCAGCTCCTGTCAGCAGGCACCCGCCTGCCAGGGCTGCAGACTCGCACTCCCGTCTCCTGGCCTTACCCAGGCCCCTCCTGGTCCCTGTCGCCAGGACTGTTAGGTGAGAGCAAGTCTCAGACTGAGGGATGTGTGGAGGTCCATTGTGCAAAGCCAGGAGCCTCAAAGGCTTTCTCTCCCACTATACTGGATTTTCACGTTTTAAAGAAATCCACTAGTGAGGCTTCTGCGGAGGAAGAGACATTACATAAGAAAAGGTGCCAAGCTGCTTCCAACCTCTTGTTTGGCAGATGTCTTCAGGTCCAGGGAGAGAGAGGAAAGGGCTGGCCCCCTCTGGGCACCCTCTCAGGGCGCTGCTGGGCCCCCACACACCGGCCTGGCCCTTCCTCTAACTTGCATTAGCCGGTTGAGCAAGCGACTCCTTGAAAGCCCTTTTCCTCATAGAGGTAACTGCATCAGTGGGTGGTAAGTGCCCACCCCCCCACACCAAGAAAGCAAAAGTCTAGTCTCCTCCAGGATTCCACCAAAAGCCTCTGTGCTATTGGGAACCTGTAGACACTCAATTCTGAGGACCGGGCAGGCCCCTGCCCCTGCTCTGGGCAAAGCCCTAAGCTGCAGATTGGGACAAAAGGAGGCCCAGAATCAGCCACAGGACCACCACTCCCCTGCTGCCTGAGATGGAGGCACTGCTCAGGGCAAAGCCACAAACAACAAACAGCTCTGTTTATTCTTCTCCTAGCAGCTGAGCTTCCCTGGCCAGGAGGAGACTTCTGGCCCTTGCGGAAAGATTTGGCACATGAAGTCCAAGATGAGAAACCAAGGCACCAAGAGGTTAGGCTGTGCCCTTTACAGAGGCAGCTGGGAGGAGGGCCTCTGGAGTTGGCTCTGTAGGCGGCCAGCAAGCAGGGAAACTGAGGCACACACTGGTGGCAGTTCTCTCCCACACTTGGAGAATGTGGACTAAAGAGGGGGTAAATGGGGTTCAAAGAAAAAGCCGGCCCCGGCGATCTGACTGCAGGTAGCTTGGACCTTGCAAACCTCCCTCCCGGCTCTTTTGGTCCCGGGGCTGGAAGCTCCGTTCTGGATCGGCGGAAGGGCACCGAATGGGGGGGCGAGGCTCCGGAGACCTCCTCCGGGACCTCAGCCCGGGGAGCCACTCCCGGCGCGTCCAAGCTCCCCTGGGCCAGCGAAGCCCCGGCCTGGGGGTGCTGCGCCAGGGCCACACTGAGCGGGCGCGCGGCGGGGAAGCCGCCTACAGCCCCCGCGGGCCCGGCCTTCTCCTTCCCGGAGCTGCCGAAAGTGGAGGTGAGAAATCCTCTCAGTCCGCAGGCGTCCCTACCCCTTCCTGGGCCTCCGTTTCGCCCTCAGTACTAAAAGCTCGCTGAGCAAGCCGACTGGGCAGTCCCCTCCGGGTGCAGGAGATGATTGCGAGTTTGGGAACGTGCCCCACGGTTCGCGTGTGCTGGAGTCACCGTATCGCCGGGATCCCGGGGCGCACCTCGGCCTTGCGAAGTCCTTGCTGGTTCCTGGCCCGTCCTTGGGCCCATGGGCCCCAGCGGACACGCCAGCTTGGAGACCCGACGTTTCTCCGCCGCACAAAGAGCCTCCTCGTCGCCAGAGTGAGGTCTCCCGCGCCTCGCCCCGCCACCCCGAGCCCCCGGCAGCCGCCCCGAGCCACCCCCGCGGCCGCCGCTGCCCCAGGCCTCGGCCATGCGCCCCGGGAAGCTTCGGGGAGCAGCTCTGCTCCCTCCTCTTTCGCTTTCGATTCGGTGCGCGCAGGTTTTCGTTGCTAGCCGCTGACTACCTTTCCATCCACGCGCCCCCCCTCACCCCCTCCCAAAGAAGCTCTCACAGCTCAGAGGTCGCGAGACGCGGGCCAGGCCGGAGACCCCTGGGGCGCCGCCGAGGGGCTGGTCCTGATTTGTTGAATTAGATGCAGTGTTTGAACGCTAAGGGTATTTATTTCCCCCGCACCGACACCATCCACACACCACCAAACGTGTAAACCCTGCCTGGGTCCTATTCGAAGTTAGTCAAAGAAGCGGCGTGTGGTTTTGCGTAAGAGAAGCCCAGAATAAGACCTCGAGAAACGGACAGGAGAGAAGAAACAGTTAAGAGCCCCAGGGTGATTGTAGGATGATCGAGAGAAAACTCCAGCCTGGGAGCTGTGCCGTTGCCGACCTGGGTCACTTTTGGAGGAGGGGGCAGAGAAGGAAAATGCTTTTAATGTTGTACTTTGTTAATTTCTGTAGCCGTCAGCGTGCTGGAACAGTCGGCCTAAACACAGATGACCTTAAATAGAAAAACAGAAGGCCTGGATTAAAGGTTTAGTATTTTAAATCAATCGATTTGCAATTTTTTTATTGTAAGCTCTGTACAGTGCAGTACACAGCTAAGTGGAAAGTTCGAAGAACTGTTCTGTAAACTACCACCAGGACCAGGATACAGACGTGTATATATACCCGAAAATTGGGGGGGAATTTTTTTTTTTTTTTTTTGGTGAGTTGTTTTAAAGAAAAATTCAGAAGAGACTTCGGAGAGCCGGAGACCCCACCCCCACCCCCGTTTGCGACAGTGGTGTTTCTTGAGTAGGGTGACCTTGTACGCCTGGACATTTGCACCACCCGGACTGGAAAACGAGGTTACTTACCCGCTGCACCAAAAACCTCGATGCAGCGGCTGGGCTGTCCCGGTCCAGACTCCCCGAAGCCCTGGGCTGAGCAGGCTGCAAAACGGAGCCGAGGTAGGAAAACAAGTTAAAATACCATGCATAACATTTCCCGAAGTCCCTAAGGACTTTCGTTTTGGAGAGCAGCGGGGCACACTTTTCCGGGGATGTACCTTCATCTGGGTCTCAGCCGCTTTCCTCCTGCAGCTCTGCGCGCGCGGCTTTGTTTTGATGGAAAATTGGAATACAAAGTGGAAATATGGTGGCCTTCGCAGCGGTGGGGGTGAGGGGAGGTTGGAGTCCCGCGTGCTCAGTCTGGGTTTCGGGCTTATCCGCTGACCGGGGTACCCGAAGCAGCAGGCGGGGGGAAAACTGCCGGGAGCGCCCTAGGCTCCGAGGCCAGGGGTCCGGGAATGGGGAAGCCACCAGGTTTGGTGGTGCTTGGTTTTGCAGCAAGGAAACCGGGAGTAGGGAAGAGGGGCTGCGACAGAGTGCTTGGCTAGAGAGAGTTCCCTGCCCCGAACGAAGCCCGCTGCCCAGACACCTCACCCCACCCCCGCCCCACCTAGGCCCAGGCACTGTTTTGGGTGGGGCGGTGGGAGCCCATTTGTGCCTCTGGACACCGCCTGCCAGGCGCCATCAGGCCACATGCTCCCCAAGCTATGGGGTTCCTGGGCGTCGATAAAGTGACAAGACAGCTCCGTGCTGATACTGCTCAGTGAATTCAGAGTTTAAGACACTGGGGCCCCTTGCTCAGGGGCCCTGGGCACCACACGCCTTTGTTGGGTCTGGATTAGACTAGTGAGAA